CGATTCATTAACACTAAAAACAGTTAACAGCAAGAGGCGTAACAGCGTACCTTCCATCGCTGGAACTTGAGGTTCAGTGCGTTGAGTTCCTTCAACACATCAGCCAAAAAAAACAGCATGAAATGGAATTTCAAACTGGTTACAACGAGGTACGCCTTCGGGTCGTTCTCGTACAACAGAATGACAGCAGCTGGAAGGTTGTCAGCCAGTCGCTGAACCGCCAGACCACGTGAAAGCCACCTGACGCTGTGGATGCCCTGCAACTCCAGGTTCGTTTCACACAGCACCTCCTGCAGCTCTTTGAAGCGTAGGTGGAAGTTGCCCGACCGTCCAAGGAGCTCCGCTAAGGAACGGACGACATGGTCGACGATGTCAAGGTCGGGGTAGGCCTCTGCTGCATCCTTTGCGGCCAAATCTTCCCTGACATAACACGGAAAAAGCAACAAGTTAGATACATATGCAACGCTTTAAAGGTGAGCATAATATCACAGGGTTACAAACCTGTGCGCGATGCAGTGGAACCCGGCGAGGTGTGGAATCCGTGCACGAAGGCGTGCCACCAGGCCCGTCTGAGAACCGACCATGACGCTTGCACCGTCAGTGCTGATGCCACTGATGCGCTCAAGGTCGAGGCCGGTAGACTCCAGGTGGGTTAGAAGGACTGCCTGCAGGGAACCAGCATCGCACTGCTCAACTGTTAGGTGTGCGAAAAATTCGGTGACTGGAGTGTTGCTGCGGAGGAACGACAAGTAGACTATCAGGTGCTTCCCGCGCCGACGGTCCGTGCTCTCGTCCAATTGAATGCCCAGGTAAGGACTCTCCCGGATGTGCTTCATCTGTTGAGCACGGAGGTAGATGACGAGCGTCTCAACCAACTGCGCAAACCCGTACCTGTAACGACCAGAGAGAAGGTAATTAGTACCGTGGTTTCCAACTAAAGGACGCGCAAAAAAAACATAACACTTACTCGCTGTAGTAGGTGCCGGGATCCTTCAGGGGCATGTCGGGCGTGCCCATCTCTGCCATGAACTGGACCAGCGTCACAAACAGCACAATGGGTGAGTCGCTTCTGCAAATAAAAATAACTGTTGCCAGGAGTTTTGTCAAACGATTGGCTTCCCCGTCACCGTTTTCAAAGTCGACAATCGACTTCTGAGCAGCATTCTTGCAGTCACGCAACTGTTGGCGGTCCAGTGACGCCTCATGCTTGATGGAATGCTGATGTTTCCGCATCGTCTGTCGTTGAATGTCAAGCCCACCCTCTCCATCGCGGCCGTACTGGTAGCTGGGGTCTCCGTGCACCATGCAGATTGAACACCTCATGCAGGGTTGACCCCATGAAGTCTCCGAGATGATGAGCCACGGGAAGTGCTTGAGCCATTTCTCGTTGGCCTTCTGCTGCCACTGCTCGACGGTCAAGACGCGCGGATACTTGTCGTCGTCGTTGGCGGCGACGGGCTGTGACGGGCCCGGGCGAGGTGTGCTAAAGCGGGGGACGGTTGCTGGCGGGACACCTGCAGTGGGACGGGCAAAGCTCAGAATTCGCTGTTTGTATTTACCGTTCCCTGCTCTGATGCGAGAAACAGAAATCGCCGGTAGAGTTGTGGCCACAGATGCCGAAACGGGTTGCGGCGAAGACTCAGCTTCAGCCGGGTTAGGCTGGGTCGTAGTCTCAGTAGCGTCTGACGTGGATTGCGAGGGGATAAGCGGCTCGTCGTTGCATGATGTGATGACGTTGGGGGAAGGAATTACAGGCGGAGGCGTCTCGACTGCGGCAGTGGTGGTCACAGGAATTGCTGCCGGAGTTTTACGGGTTAGGAAATATAACGCAGAAACCTGTGGCTCGTCAGGTACCCCGGGTGGATCACGCCTAGCGCCGTCGGTTGACTCGAGGGCGCCATATAGCATGGTGTGAGGTGGTGTATCACATCACATGAGGCAGTAGAAACACAGGAATTCTAGACGGTACGCGGGAACAAGCTACGGGACGATAGGTATGCTTTGGGCTAGGCGTCAAAGATTGAAAGGCAAAGGCAGGTTGTCAAATAAAGGCTTGGAGAAGAAAGGAAGGGAAGGGACCATCACCTCACGAACCGCGCCGCGCCTCTCTCACGAGGGTTTCACGAAGGTGGGTGCATGCTTTGTTTTGGTGTGCACCGACTGTCCTTGACCTCTGCCAGCGAGGTGGGGTGCAACAGCCTGGCAGCGGCGCCGACAACAGCTACCCAACAGATGCGTGGCAGCAACTGAGTCAGATGCAGTATGCGCTGGCAGGAAGAATCCGAAATTCACCCCCGTTCCCTCACGCAGAAATCATTACGCGTGCCTTCACATGCAACACATCGCTGCTCCTCTGGCCAACTGGGCTATTTTGTCTCTATCAGACGAATCAATACGCGATTTTTGCTTGATCAGACGAATCTATATAAGTTTCCTGAAAAAACATATGATGCTATAGCCTTGGTCTTGGCTCACATATGGCCCATAACCTAAAGTCTGCCGCAGCATATGAACTACACAGTTCGTGCCTGAAACCTAGACCAACAGACTAAATTAGTCTGCTAACGAGGGCCCTGGAGGGGAGGCGGAAAGGGGGGGGGGGGAAGGGGGGACAAGTTAGCACTGATTGATACATAACTCTTTGTTATACTCTTCGTTATACTTGTCTGCTCTCAATCCTATTTGTGTATGCATGTGTGTGTGTGCGGGTGTGTTTGTGCGGGTGCGTGTTTGTGTCAGTTGGTTGTTTCACAGGGGGGTTCTTGTGCTGATCAGGGCTGACGTTTCACTTTAGGGCTCCCTGATGCCGCTAAAAAAAGATTCCCTCGATTATGAATGCACATTGTTCAGGAGATTGTCACCCTGATGGCTCAGGGTTCAACAACTAGTCACTCTGATGAGTCAGGGTCGACAGCCTGAATTCAGAGTTGTGTTTCAAATTTTACTAGGGTGATTACTGCAATGTACAGCCTGTAACAAATTTCCTCCTACATCTGTCAAACTTATATATGCTATAGTCTGTTTAGGCTGTAGTGGGGTAGTTCTTAGAGGGTACAATAATTTTGTGTTTGCTACTTGTACCCACCTGTTTTCTAGTTCATCTCATTCCTCTCATTATTCTCACATGGTATCAGAGCGAGTTCCCTAGTGGAATCGTTTTTTTCGGGCCCACCACTAAGATTTTTTTTTTCCTTACCTGCCCGAGGCGCGCCCCGCGCACCCTGCCCTTAGCGGCCCGCCCTTAGGGCCCTCCTCGTCGCGCCCCTCACGGCCCCCCTTTGCGGCCCTTCGCGGCCCGTCTCTGCCCTTCGCGGCCCCTTCGCGGCCCGTTGCGGCCCTTCACGGCCCTTCGCGGCCCCTTGCGGCCCCTTCGCGGCCCTTCGCGGCCCTTCGTGGCCCCTTGCGGCCCCTTCGCGGCCCTTCACGGCCCCCCATTGCGGCCTTGCGGCCCCTTCAGCAACTGCCGTAGCCCATGCCAGCCCCTACTGGCGCGCCCGTACCGGCCCTACTGGCTTCACTGGGTCGTTTCCAGCTGGTACCCAGTGGAGCCTCCGGCGGCCAGTCTACGGTCTCCGTCAGGCACCTCGTGAGTGGCACGACACACTCAGGACGACTCTTGCTGCTCTTGGTTTTGCTCCTTCCACTTCTGACCCTTCTCTGTTCTTACGCACTTACACTACTCTGCCGCCGTTCTATGTTCTAGTGTACGTAGACGACCTCGTCTTTGCTACTGCTGACACTGAGACACTCGCCCACGTGAAGTCCGAGCTGCAGAAGAGACACACGTGCACAGACCTGGGTGAGCTGACAAGCTATCTTGGCTTGCGGATCACCCGGGACAGAGCACAGCGCACCATTACCTTGACTCAGTCACACATGGTGCAGCAGGTCCTTCAGCGCTTCGGCTTCACGTACTCCTCGCCACAGTCCACTCCTCTGCCTACCGGTCACTCGCTCTCAGCTCCACCTTCGGACGAGTCCATAGAGCCGAGTGGCCCGTATCCAGAGCTTGTGGGCTGCCTCATGTACCTGATGACTTGCACACGACCTGACCTCGCATACCCTCTCAGCCTTCTGGCTCGCTACGTGGCTCCCGGCAGGCACCAAAAGGTGCACTGGGATGCTGCGAAGAGGGTGTTGCGATACTTGTGCAGTACATCGGGCATGGGGCTCGTGCTTGGAGGACGGGCTCGAGTTGTCCTCACTGGTCACGCTGACGCCTCCTGGGTTGACGACTTGGCTACGCAGCGGTCGTCACAGGGTTACACCTTCAGTCTTGGCTCCGGTTCTGTCTCTTGGCGGTCTACCCGCTCTTCTTCTGTTCTCAGCTCCAGTTGTGAGGCTGAGATCTACGCTGGGGCCATGGCTGCACAGAAGCTACGCTGGCTCACCTACCTGCTGACCGACTTGGGAGAGGCGCCTCGTTCTCCTCCAGTTCTGTACGTCGACAACAAGGCCATGCTGGCCTTGTGTCAGGAGCACAGACTGGAGCACAGAACGAAGCACATTGCTCTGCGCTACTTCCTTGCTCGAGAGTTGCAGCAGCGTGGCCAGCTTTGTCCTCATCCACCTCCTCCTCCTCGTCCTCCTCCCCATCGTTCTGGTGGGCAGCTCCTGCTTCGACTTCACCCTCCTTTGCTTTCCCCCTCCTTTCGCGATCAGCCACAGCAAGCTTCACGCTCTTTGCGGGGCGCCTCCTCCTCATAGACCTCCAGACCTCCAGGGCGTCCGGCCACTCGATGTCGTAATTCAGGAGCGAAATCTGCATCAGCTCCCCCAGCCGCGCGTTGCAGAGAGCGCCGCGCACCCAAGACTTGATCACATTTTGCCTCGAGAATCCTCTCTCGCACTCCACAGTTGACAGGGGGAGCACCGCGATCGCCTGCCACAGGAGGACGAGGTTGGGCCACCTCCTGCCAGGCACATTGTCGGAGATGGGTGGGAAACAGAGTGACCACATGCACAAAATACATTAGACTCCCGCATGGCATACCATGCTGTCACACTACGGGGACATACCTCTTCGAGTCCGCGCTCCCGAGAATGTTGGTCAGTCCCTGCGTGAAGCATTCCAGCTCGTGGTGCGCCTCCATGATCGCACAGAATGTGGGAAGCTCCCTCTCTGCGGCCTTGAGGTCGAATCCCGGCAGCTTGTGGCGGAAGAGTTTGCTGCATCCCAGAAGCCACTCACGGCACTTCTTCTCCCGTTGTGCCTTGATCTTCGGCCACATTCCGGCCCGAAACAGCTTCGTCGGCCCCAGCTTCCCCAGGTCATTAAGCCGCTCGTTGAGATTGTCCACGCAATCGCGGGCGAAACTGCGGCACAGCTTCACGCACTCCTCGTATCTGCTCCCCACCTTGTGCCCCGGGAGCTTCCGCTCGTGCATGGTGTACAGATGGTTCACTGGGCGTCCCTCCCCGTCCACGCCTCTCACACGGACCTTCTTGCCTCCACCATGCCCGTGCAGCTTCAGAAAGCCGACCAGCCAGCACTTGCCCTCGCCACCGAACTGCTTGTCGGTATCCAAATACCGCTCAGTCAGATCCGCCGTGGTGGCCTCGATGGTCTTCGCAATCTCCGTCACATCAATCTGTAAGGGCACAGTCATACAGGACATGTCATTTTACATCCAACACTCGAGAAATTGGAGACACTAGCAGAGGCGTGTTCGTGGAAGATTAAACAAACTCACATCTCGCTTCTGGAAACAGCGGTTGAGGTCGTTCATGTCGGCGAGGATGTCGGCGAGGAAGAACAGGCAAAACTGGAACTTGTAGCACGTGACGATCTCGTACACCTTGTGACTCCGCTCCCAGAGAAGAACGATACACGCACCGAGCACCTTGCACAGCCGTCGCACCGCATCTCCACGTGAGAGCCAGCGAACCGTGTGGATCCCCTGGACTTCGAGGTTAGTGTTGTAGATCACACGCTGCAGGTACTTGAACCGTTGGCTCCAGACTGAAGAATCTCCTAGTTTTGCCGCCACGGTGCGCACCACCTTGTCCACCATGCTGAGGTCGGGGTTGGACGTCGCCGCGTCCTTAACAGCCAACGCCTCCCTGCAATAGACAACGTTAATAATTCTTGAGTAGAAATCAGGCAAGCAACATGAACTGGATCAATAACTGGCACTAAATCTTACCGGTGCGCGATGCAGTGACAGGAAAAGAGATGCGGGGCGTGCTCCCTGATCCGCGCCACCAATCCGTTGTCCTTCCCCGTCATGACCGAAGCCCCGTCCGTACTGATTCCGACAAGCTTCGACACGTCGACGGCTGTGGAGCGCAGATGATTCATGAGCACCTCGAACAGGGACGCAGCATCACACTTCTCCACAGTCAGGAGGGTGAAGAACTCGGTGACGACTCGGCGGTCCTTGATGAAGGTCAGGTAAACAATCATGTGTTTACCACGCGTTCGGTCAGTGCTCTCGTCGCATTGCAGGCCCAGGAACGGTGAGGAGTTGATGTGGTCCATCTGCGCATTCGTCAAGTACGTACTGAGGCAGTGAACCATCTGCTGGAAGCCGTACCTGCGCAGAGATGTAGGTCCTTCAGTTAGTCTTTCTGGGGGAAAATATTTCATTACCACGAATTCAATACAGCAAGATTGTAACTAAAATGTCCTACCGTGTGAGATAAACACCGTAAAACTGTCTCGGGATGTCGCGCGTGTCCTGCTCTGCGAGATGCCGCATCAGCCTAGGGTACATGCTTATCGGCGCGTCGCACTTGCACAGAAACACAACCGACCGCAACAGTCGGACGGCGCGCCTGCCCTCGACGTCCGAGTTGATGAAGTTCGAAATCACTTGCTGCCCCTCGCGGACGCCTCTCGCAATCTTCAGCTGCCGGTCAACAGCCACTTTGTGCACGTCCGTGTGCTCGTGTGCGCGAAACGCCTGCGTCTGCATGTCACGGCCTCCGTCATCACCCTGCCTCGCGTACCTCGTGTTCTCCTTCCCGTAGGCCATGCAGACACTGCACTTCACATAGGGAAACCCATCCTTGGTTTTTCCGAACACAAGCCAGGAGAACTGTCCCGACCACCTCGTATCGTACATGATGCTGGCCTCCAGGAACATCTGCTCCTGCAGCTGCGCCTTGGTGAGGGCGGGCGAGCCGGTGTCCGCGCGGATCGGGAACACATCTTCCTCTGGCGGTGCAGATGCAGCAGGTGGTGGATCAGCCGGAGTGTTCGAAGCAGAAAGTCGGCGGCCTCCGACGAGCAGGGTATGCTGCGCCCACTTCCTTGAACGCGCTCTCTTCGGTGTGGAGGTAGCCGACGGAGGACCAACGGACACCCGCACGGTGCTTGGTGTGGGACTTGGCGCGGTTGGTTGGGGATCTTTGCTGCAAGAAGCAACAGCCGGGGGTATAGTGAAGGCGGCCTCCTGGGGAGACTCTTCAGGTGTGGCCGTGGGCGTGTCTTTAACTGCAGAATCATCTACGGTATACCTAGGTGGATCCGGTGTTACTGGAGCAGCGGAACCTCTAAGAAAATCAAGCCCCGAGCGTGGCTCTGTGGCTTTCGGCGGTAACGGTGGCTCATCTGAGCCAGCCTGAGGCGTGTCCTCGTCAGCCTGCTGGCCTTCCATGGCTGGGAGAAGCTAGAGATGGGGAGAGAGAGAAACGGAGAAATGAATTGAAAAAAGGGAACATAACAGCAGCACCAACAAGACCCTGGCTGTGGGAGGGGGGAAGCAAGAGATGGAGGGAGAAGGTGGGGTCAGCAAGAATCCACCGCGTCGCCACGAAATTGATGGCGCGGTGGTCGAAACAACGAGCCGTCATTGTATTCGGCCTTTCATGCAGGCCGAATACATTGAACGACTGCTTCACTGCCAGCGACAACAGCCACTAAGTGTCTCCCTCCAATGAGGGACACGTATTGTGATTTGCGCGGTGCGTGTGGCAGTAAATACAGTATGATGATTCTATGTGCGCTGTCAAATTTGACAGCTGTGCTATACATCGATGCTGTACAAATGACAGTTGTGTTCTGTGTCGGTTCTTGTCACTAGTGCGCGTGAAACGAAGCCCCCACATGGTTAGGTGCGAAATCATAATTACCCACATGGGGGGGTATCGGAACGAAGCTTCTACGAAGCTTCGTTCAGATAACATCACTTTCAGGGTCCATAGGTCGCGTACTCTGTATTGACAGGGTCCATGAAAACACTACACTGAGAGTGTATTGAGAATTTCAGGCTCCGCTAAATCAATACTCTGAATGGATCAGGGACCAAAATGTGAAAAACCTGATTTCACAGGGATCACAAGGTGAGAAGCCTGAAATCCCCCTGAAATTAGGGTAATTACCCTGATAAAATCAGCCCTGGTGCTGATATGCATCATGTTTGCGATCTGAGGTTGTCATCGTCGTTGGGGCAGCGTGTTTTCGCTGTTTCAATTGTTAGAATTTGAGATGATTGAATAGGATCGTATTACTTAGGATGATAGCTTCTTGTCGTAGCAGAAGTCTGGTATGAGTTAAAGCCAGTTATGAAGGCTTTGTCTGGACTTAATTAAAGCCCATGTAGTGATATGTTTCAGGATCTTTGTCTCTGAAATCAAATATATTTAAAAATGACAAACGTACAAAATATATAGCTAGAGTAAAGTACCTGTTCGCCTATTGTACTGTGCTATTCCTGTTCTGAAACGGTACGTGACTTTTCGCGAGGCCTATAGCTACGTGCTGACGTCATCCTAGGGCGCGTAGCGCTTTGCTGTCGTCAGCCTATCGGTACTTTACTGTTTCGTGCGAAGTCTCGCACTGTACTACACGAGTCCTTGAAGTGCTTAAGTCTTCATATTATCTCAACACTCCCCTTCACTTCTAGGAGTTCGGTGTAGTTACCCGGTTGTCTCAGTAATGCCGCTGAGCTGGTTGCAGTGGTGAAACTTCTGTCGTGTCAGTTTCTTGGTAAGTGAGTCAGCTGCCATGTCACCAGTGGGACAGTAGACAAGGCGCATCCTCCCCTTGTCGATCGCATCTTTGACGAAGAAGTAACGCAGTGAAATGTGTTTCGTGCGATTGACGAAGCCGGGTTTGTTGGCGATGGTAATCGCACTCTGGTTGTCGCACTACAACGTGAACTGATTCGGCGTGACGAACTTTGCTTCGTCGAGCAGTTCCTATAAGTATAATCCTTCTCGAGTTGCAGCACATGCAGCAATGAATTCTGCTTCAGCCGAGGAAAGTGACACGAGTTCCTGTTTTGATGAGTTCCACGAGATCGGGCCAATTGGCTCGAGACGAAAAATGTAGCCTGTTCGTGACCGACGATCTGACGTGTCACCAGCGTGGTCTGCGTCAACATATCCGCTGAAGTACATTTTGTCGGTCGGTTTTCCTGTGTTGAAAATCAGCCCGACTGTTGGTGTTGCGACAAAATAGTGTAGAGCGCGCTGAAGATCGAGATGGTGTTCTTCTTTTGGGCAGCGTAGAAATTGTGCGAGATAGCTTGCGACGTACGCAAGGTCGGGACGACACGTGACAGCTGCGAAGAGAAGGCACCCAAGTTGCTGCTGGTACAGTTGTAGACCAGCTGCCGAAAGTTTGGTGTTGTTTAGGATATGCCCGGTGGGTGTAGATCGATACGGTGTAGCGACGTAATCTATAGAAATCTTGAAACGCTTAGCGAGTGACTCAGCATATTTCGATGCTGTGAGGTGGATGGCGGAGGAGGTTCGCGAAATGTTTAACCCAAGAAATTGGGTTACTTTGGTGGAGACGGTTAAGTCGAGGGATTTCTTCAGATCTGCTTCGATGCGATCACCCAAGGAAGCCGAAGAACTTACGTAGAGAATATTATCCACGTATGCCACGAGTAGCGCGTAGCTCCCTTTGTCGTCTATTCGATACATTCCGGGATCATGCGGTAGTTGTCGGAACCCAACCTCTGTAAGTTTCCTGTTCAAATGCTGCTGCCACAGTCGCGGTGCTTGTTTGATGCCGTACAGTGACTTCTTGAGCTTGCAGAGACTTGGCAGATTTGTCGGATAGGTATGTGGATATTCGACGTAGATTTCAGCATCGACGTCAGCGTACAGAAATGCGTTGGAAACGTCAATTTGTCGAAGCGGAAAATTCTTCGCAGCTGCTTCGCAGATGACGAGACGAACACTTGTGTGTCGGCTGACCGGGGCGAAAGTTAGTGTGTAGTCTACCCCATGAGTTTGGTCAAAACCGCGAACAACCCACCTTGCCTTATGTTTTTCATAAGAGCCATCAGCTTTCGTCTTCACCCTGAAGACCCATTTTCCAGTAAGAATATTTTTATTTGTAGCTTTTCCGGTGGGTATGAGATCCCAAGTCTCCCGTTTTTCCAGGGCAGCCAGTTCACGATCCATGGCTTCACGCCATTTTTCGCGATGTGGTCCTGAAAGGGCCTGTCGGGCAGTTTTCGGTTCTGCGACTTCTGTAGAATTGTGTTGTACTGCTGCTGCGAGTCCCAGTATCTGAAGCCCAGTTTGATAATTAGGACTGTCTGTCAAACATTAATCACATAGCCTATCTAGGCTGTAGTGGGGTCAACACTATGGGGTACAGTTTCCTAGGGTTTCATATTTGTACCCAACTCATTTCCTAGTCATTCATTCCTGTTTCTTCACATGGTATAGAGCGGGTTCCCTACTGGGACCGTTCCTTCCTAAGGGCCCACCGTTAAAAGTTTTTTTTTACCTGCCCGAAGCGCGCTTTGCGCTCTGCCCTACGCGGCCCCTTTGCGGCCCCTTAGTGGCCTTTTCTGCCCTACGCGGCCCCTTTGCGGCCTGTTAGCGGCCCCCTTTGAGGCCCCGTTGCGACCCCGCCCCGGCCCTGCCCCGTCGCCCGAAGCCGCCCAGTCGCGGCCCTATCGCGGCGTTGCCCCGGCCCTGCCCCGTCGCCCATTGCGACCCCGTCGCGGCCCCGCCCTGGCCCTCCCCCGTCGCTTGTCGCGGCCCGGCCCCGGCCCTGCCCCGGCCCTGCCCCGGCCCCGCCCCGGCCCCGTCGCGGCCCTGTCCCGGACCTGCCCCGGCCCTGCCCCGACCCTGCCCCGACCCTGCCCCGACCCTGTCGCGGCTCTGTCCCGGACCTGTCGCGGCCTCGCCCCGGCCCTGTCCCGGCTCTGCCCCGGCCCTGCTCCGGCTCTGCCCCGGCCCTGCCCCGGACCTGTCGCAGCCCTGCCCCGGCCCGGCCCCGGATCTTTCGCGGCCAGGCCCCGGCCCTGCTCCGGACCTATCGCAGCCCTGCCCCGGTCCTCCCCCGGCCCTGCCCCGGCCCTGCCCCTGGTAAGAGCACCGCCGAGCCGAGCCGCGCTGCCGAGCCGCACCGCCCTGCCGAGCCGCCCTGCCGAGCCGCGCCGCCGAGCCGCGCCGCCCTGCCTAGCCGCGTCGCTTAGCTGAGTTGCACTGCTGCTGCTACTAGCCTGCTGCTACTCCTGTCATGGCTAGTCCCAGTGTTCTTACCTTTGATGCTGAGGGTCGAGCGGTTGACTTCGAGGTCTGGCTAGATGATCTGCAGCTTTTCCTACAGTGCGATAGCAAGGATGGTCTCTCACTGTTCGATCTCACGTCTGGCGCCTCTACTGCCCCTGCTGCTGATGCTGACAGTACTGTTCGCTCGCAGTGGACCACGCGCGATGCTGCTGCCCGCCTTGCTGTGCGTAGTCACCTACCGTCTACTGAGCGCGCGCACTTTAGTTAGTACAAGAGTGCTAAGACTCTGTACGACGCTGTAGTTGCACGCTACTCTTCCCCTGCCACTGCTGCGCTTAGCCGCCTCATGCTACCGTACCTGTTCCCTGACCTCACCGCTTTTGCCACAGTCACTGACCTCATTACGCACCTCCGCACTAGTGACACCCGCTACCGCGCTGCGCTTCCTGCTGAGTTCTGCGCCAAGAACCCCCCCCCCCATGTACATCACCCTCTACTACCTAGTCACCCGGCTCCCTGACACCCTTCGCTCGGTCAGGGACCACTTCCTCTCTCTTTGCCCTACCACACTCATCGTTGACCTCCTCGAGGAGCGCCTCCTTGCAGCAGAGACTAGTATTACCGCTGTAGGAGCCTCTGGTGGTGACCCCCGTACCCCTTTCTTTGAGGGGTGCTCCCCCGTTCCTCTTTTGCCCTCCGTTGCCTCTGCTGCTGCTGTCGACCTTGTTGGCACCGAGTCGGTCATCGCTGCGTCTACTCCTAGCGAGAAGCACCGCAACGGCAAGGGCAAGCGGGGCAAGGGCGCTGGAGGAGGTGGCGGGGGGAGCGGTAGTGGCGGTGGAGGCGGAGGAGGGGGTGGGGGTGGGGGTGGTGGCAGAGGTGGGGGCTTCGGTGGCAGCGGTGGAGGTGGAGGCGGCGGTGGCGGTGGCGGTTGGGGTGGAGGCGGCGGAGGCGGCAGCGGCGGAGGTGGAGCTGGTCGAGGCGGAGCTGTACAGCGGGGACCCCAGCACCAGCCCCGCTCTCGTGAGACCCCGTCGCCCCAGCAGCTTCGTGAGTGGTACGCAGGGCGCCAGGGGTCTGGGGGTGCTGGTCCCTGTGCCTACGTCCTGCGCACCGGCGACCGCACTGGAGAGCAGTGTGGCGGCATGCACGCCACCCAGCGCTGCTTTGGCCGCCTGACAGACGCCTGGCGTACCCAGTTCCCTGACGCCACTGAGATCCCTCGCTGGGGTGATCTGCTCAAGTCGGGTGTAGCTATCTTTGATCTTGACTTTGACGCTATTCTTGCTGTCATGTATGCTGTGTCTATTAGTGCTGAGGGTGACTGTTACGTGGGTGTTCCGCCTGACCCGGGCATTGAGGCTGCTGCT